TAAGCAAATGTGGTGAAGAAAGCTGATGGTGCCCGGCTATTAAAAGATAGTGTCTGAGGTCTTTAAGGCTTACAGTTAAACAAGCAACCATCTAGCAGGGAAGTAACAAAGCCCACAAGGAAGAAACACACCAGCCTGTGAGATCATGAAGTATTGACTGGATCAGGCATCAGAAGACCCAAAACAAACAAGTATATCTATGCAAATGATAGGGGTCAGAATGGAGACCCAAAGTCCATCTGTAGACAACTGGACATTCCCTCACAGAAGGGATGAGTCAGCCAGGATACAGTATAGCACCAACAAAACAACATTCCTCTAGTTCTTTAATGCTCCCCCACCCCTCCAATTATCACGACCCCAGGATACCATACTCCAAACATTTCATGTTCCAATTATTTATGGAACTTCCAACTGTTCCTTCTCCTGTTGAGTCATGGCCCATCAGCAAGTGAAGGTCCCCAAAGCTTTACTCTATCTACATTATTATGGCTGACTCTTACTTTAAAGAGGTAGCTCTTTCCCAATCACATTCGGAGTGCCTCTCAACATGAGAGGCACATCTTCCAGCACTGTATCTGACAATGTTTCACTGCTATTCATAAGGGTTTTCTGTGGCTAATCCCTTTAAGTAGACAGCTTAGTCTATCTTTCAGTACTATATCTGACATTGGTTCTCTGTTACTCATAATACTTTTTTCTTCAGTCTATTCTTAGTCTGGAAGCTCTGCTGAAGCCAGTTCACTTTCTGAAACCAGTTCACCTTCTGTGACTCTGCTGGTATTTAAAATACTGATGACAAAGCTTCCAGCATCACAGCAGCTTGTAAGCCCCCACAGTACAATAAACTGACAGCTCAGTGGTTGAATAGAGACTGATGAACCCCTGACGCTATGTATCTAAGGCACTCTGAAGATCTGGAACTTGACTCACACCTATGGTTCAATTTTTAAACAATGGAGAAGTCTATAAGAGGTACAATAACACAAGTTCAGAAGGCAGACAGTTAGACAGGGGAAAAAATGAAAATAGAAAATAGGGAAAAGTAAGATGAATTATGTTACTTTGTGTTGATTGCAATCAATGACATGAAAAAAAAGTGTACTAAGTCTATAAACCAACACACATCACAAAAAGTTAAAAAAAAATTATATTTTGTTTTGAATACGAAAAACTTACCTAATGTATCCTTGAGGTTTTTTACAATAGATGCTTTCCGAGCACTGTTTTTCCTTTCCACGTAGTTAGAAGGCACAAAGCCCGTTTTATTCATGGAATTTCGAACTCGCCACCAGGACTTTGAATCATCCAAAAGCCATAATCTTTCATTCTTCTTGATGTCCAGCTCTTGTTCTTGCTGAGCCACATAATCAAATTTGGCTACAACCACCACTTCTTCTGCCATCTCTTAGCAGCTTCAACACTGTAAACACAGAGAAAAACACTTTACTTAAGGGTGAAGTATAATATTTTTTTGCATGAATCATACCTAAAAGTAACATCCTTGCTTTTCAACACTCTAGAGAGGTCTTGCGCACAATAGAGGATGTTACTTTGAGAATGAAGGTCACCTGACATGGAGCCATGATATTTTCACCACATAGCATGTCAAAGTTGAGGACTGCATAAGACCGGAAAATAATAATCAATGCATTTGAACTGTAGTGCTGGAGAAGAATATTGTACAAACAAGTCTGTCTTAGAAGAAGTAAGGCTAGTGTGCTCCTTAGAGTAAGGTGA